GACACACCCCGCGCAGGGCGGGCACATGCTGCATCAAGGGGCGACGGGCGGCGGCGCCGGCCTCGGCTTACAGGGGGACGGCGCGCTGGTTGCTGGCGGGTACGTGGCGGCACACGGGCAGGTGAGGGCCGGGGCCAGGGGCTGGGGCTTGGGGCGCCGGTGGTGCGCCGACGCCGTGGGCTGCGGCGAGAGCGGCCCTGATGCATCCCGCACGCCCTAGCTCGGTCTTGCGGCGTCCCCACAGCTGCGCCAGCCCCCTGCCTGCCTTGCTATCCCGTCACATCCACCCCTCTCCCGCCCGCGTCGTCGCCCCGCCGTCATCGTCTGATGCCCCCCCCCAATTCCCCTCCTGCACGGCTGCCCCCCCAGCTGGTGGCCGCGCCGGGCGGCGGCGCCGCGCACCAGCCGTCGCTCGTGTTTGTGGGCGCCCAGCCGCACGCCGGGCCGCACCTCGGCGGCGGCGGCGGAGGCGGCGTAGTGCTCGGCGGCGGGGACGGCGGGCCGCCAGTGGGGTATGCGGCCCCCGACATGCACGCGGCGCTCTTCTACCCCTCAACGCCCGGCGGCGGCGGCCTTTACTACAGCACTCTGCAGTGAGGCAGGCCGGGCCGGCCCCCGGGTGGCCCCCGAGGCAGCCCGGCGAAACGGCCGCACCGCCCCGCGCCGCCACGCCCCAACCTTGCCCACACCGCTGACCCCGGGGGCTGGACGGGCTGCGGCCAGCGCCGCGCTGCGCTCGGGGCCGCCCCTCCCTGACTCATCCCCCAAAGCTTTGCCCCGTAGATGGGTGCACGAGGGCGCAAATCTTGCGCTGCCGCTTCTCCTTGTTCTTCCCGCTTCTTACTGCCCTTGTGGGCGCTTGCGCTAAGCATTTCGAGGCCTCACCAGATCGCGTGCGGCCTTTTCAGATCACTCTGGGCCGGCTGCATGTGTCAACTGCGGCACGTCCCTCACATCCTTGCCAACCGCATCCGTGCCCGCGCGACTCGCACGGGCGGGTGCGCTCCGACCCCACGCCCCACACACCCCCTGAAAGCTTTGGGCGCCTCTGTCTTCGCTCCATTGGAGGCTGCGCTGCTTTTCCGCCATTCACGCCTGCCCGAGTGCTGCTGTTCGATGCTTTTCCCTTTTCAGGGCGCCTGGGCCCGAGCGCCACACCAAGACATGCCGTATCTGTGACGCAGCGCACGCAGCCCTCACCGCGGGCGCGGGCGCCCTCCACGCACGCGCAAGCGCGCGCGTCGCGCCGGCGCGGCGCGGTGGCGGCCCCCACTCGTTCGTCCTCCAAAGCAGCCCGCCCATCTGTGGACCGGGCTGATCAGTCTGGGTCTTATTTGTGGCGTCCTCTTCCTCACTCCTCTGCTTTTTTTGCCACTGATTCGTACAACCGGCGCCGTCTTCTCTACCACAGCCAACTCGGCCGGCCCGCCTGCAACCTGCAAACGCTCGCAGCGACCTGCGCGGCGCGCCGCGGCGCCGGCATCTCCACGGCCGGGGCCACCGGCGCCCGCGCCCGCGGCGCGCCGCGCCCCGGCGCATGGCGCCGCCCCCCGGCCGAGGCGACGTTCTGCGGCCGCCGTGCGTGTGTCTGGCGCGCGCGGGTGTGGCGCTGGGCCCCGGCCCCCATCCGCGCTCTTGTGTGGTTTCTCGGTTTCACGCGGTTCCCCTGCCGGCCAGGCTCGGGCACAGAACAAGTGTGCGTCCGTGACGCACGCCCTTCCCGTCCTCCCCCCTCCAAAAATCCACCATCAACACTATGGACCCTCAAGACGGCCCACCCACCCCCTCGACCCGGGCCGGCGGCCCGCCCCCCAGGCGTCCCGCCTGGCCGCAGCCCCACGCCGCGGGGCGGGCGCGGCGGCGGGGGCCGCTACGCGCGGCCGAGCGGGGTATGGCTGTGACCCACCCGTGGACGCGGCTGGCGGGCTGGTTTCCGTCCACTGGGCCGTTCGCCAGCACATCATCGCCGGCCGGCAGAAGTGGGACAAGCGCGCGCGCGCGCGGCCGCTCGCCCCTCGATGCGCGCGCGGCCCTGGCGGCAAGCGCTCGGCCGCGGCGCCGCAGCGGGGCGACTGACCCCTTTCAAAGCACTGCTATGCGCACGCGCACCTCCAGCCGCGGCACATGCGGTTGTGCGGCCATGATAATATGCTCGGCCGCTTGGCACTCTGCCCCGGCTCCTCGCCACCCCTTGCCCGCTCCTGGCACCATACGCACTCTGCATGCATGCCGCTCTGCAGCGTGGGGCGAATCGCCCTTCACGGCATTTGCTAAGAGCTTTTGAGTTGAGGCGTCCGCGGACACTGCCGATCGCGAGCGGCAGACCACACACAGGGCCAGACGGGCACACACATGGCCACACCGCAGCACACCCCACCGCACCGTGGCGCAGCGCGCTGCATCCCCCACCACCCACCGCCGCCCGCCCCCTGTCAGTCCACCCCGCGTGCTACCCCGACGCCTCCGCCGCCCCTTTTTGCGGGCAGCGTGGTGCACGCGGCAACCCTGCGTGGGAACAGACAGAGTCCTGCGGCGGCGGTGGTGGCAGCGATTCGGCGGGATGCGCCCACCACCAGCACTCTTGATATATCATGAATATCGCGCTCACCCACACATTTTGCCACGCTGGAAATCTTGTGCTTTGCAGGCCCTGCCCTAAAAACCACACGAACCACCCTCTCATCCACGAATCCGCACACACCACACACACACACACCCCTTACCGCTGCGTGCAATCCCGTGCACACGCAACCTGGCACGGCGGGGGCCTCGCCGCGCGGGGGCCTTAGGCCGCGCCCACTGAACGTGCGCGCCCCTCCCCCTTCCTCCCCAATGCCCTCGCGCCGCCGGCCCTCGCCGCCCTCACCGCTCGCTGCCCGCACCCTGTCTGCCTCCGGAACACCCCACGGAACGGGGCTGGCCCCGAATTCGGAACACATCGAAGGCCGGGCGCGGACGCGCCCAACGGAACCCAGCAGTCGTCGCGGCCGCGGCAAGCCCTGATCACACCCAAGTGAACCCGTGCCCAGAGACGAGACCTGCTTCGTGCCCCCCTCACCACCACCACCACCTGCACGGGGGGCGGCAGCCCTTCAGCCTGGCTGGTCGCTTCACGTTCCTTTCGTCCAATCAGGTCTTCTACAAACGGCCTTTACGCGCCGCGATTCGTCATCCCGGAGGCTGCGCACTCTCGTGTCTTTCAGATCCGTGCGTGTTTCGTTCCCTCGCCCACACTGAACCCCACCGCCGGCCGGGCGCCCACTGCCCTACCCACCGCGCACCCCAGCCATCTGCGCCCCCCTGCAAAACCGACGCCCGCGCCTGCTCTGCGTCGCGCGTGCGTGCGTTTCTCCTGACTCCCCTCAGAATGGCATTGAACCTGATGACGCGCAGACCCTGCCCACGCGTCTCAAACCCCCAGGCAACGGTCTCGCGCAACTGCGGTCGCGCTGGCGCCGAATGGCCCCACACCCTCGCTATATATACGACCGCCGGCCCAAAACCCCAGGCGCTCACGGGCGCACGGTTGCGAGGCGCGGCCGCGGCGCCCACAGGCGCTCTCAAGAGCCGCCAAGGGCCGCTTGGCTGCGTCCTGCAACCGTGCGACTGTCGCCCTTCTACTAAGCCCCTTTATCGTTGGCACCCTACCTCCCTGCTCGGCCGCCTGTTGGTCGCACCCTCCCAGGCTGCCTTTCCGAATCTGTCCACGCGACCCCGCCACCGCCTGTCCGCGAGCGCCCATGCAGTCGACGCGCTGTCGCTCATTGAGCGCGCTTCGCGCGGCAACGGCGCTTCGACAACCATATTTCCGCGAATGGCGGGTCCCGCACCTCACCGAGAGGGAGCGGCTGAGAGACTGCGGCGCCTCATCGCCGCCGCGCCGCTGCCAGCCACTGCCCCCACAAACCCCCGCCCCCCTGCCCTGCCCTGTAGGGCAAGCGGGCCGCGCGTCCACGGGCTTCGCCTTGCCGACTCCCAGCTGTTGAGATTTCCCTTCGTCGCGCGCCGTTGCTGCCTTGATCAGGCAGCAGCACCGCACCCCCCTCCAAGGAATGGCGCAGGGAACAAACTATTACTACTACCAATACTGTAAAGCGTCTCCGAGACGCACACAGCACGAGTCGTGCTGTGTGCTCGTGCCTTCCACATGCGATGTGATTGCCAGGAGCGGCAGCAGCTGGGTGGGGCAGCGCATAGCCGGGCAGGGCGGGAACGTGAGCGGCTGCAGAAACAGCTTTCGCCGTCCTGCTGCACCGCTGGGTGGCGGGCAGGCGGACAGTCGGGTAGAAAAGATCAACAAGAGCCAGACGAGGCAACGTCCCAATCGACATAAACACTCGCAGAGTCAAGACAAGCCCCCATGGGGCCGCGAGAAAGCAGCGCAGACGCACGCCCGAGATGCTGGAGGGGTGGGGTAGAGGGTAGGATGTGGCACAGATTGCTCGTTGCCCGCAAACAACGCCTCACCAGCAAACAACGCCCCACCAGCACAGTGGACGCACGGGCAAATCCCACACATCAGCCCAGCGTCCCAGCCGTGAGCGCATGCATCGGCCCTGCCCCAGCAGCCCCGCCACTGATTCCGGCCGCTCATGCGGCCGCCCAGGACGGGCGCGCCACAGCGGGCCTGTCAGGCTGGCTGGGGGTGTTGTTCAGCTTTCACAGCTCACAGTAGACCTGCAAGGAAAGAGGATGTGGGGGAGGCGCAGGGAGGGGCGCGCTGTGGGGTGCTGGTGGTGAGGGTACGCGGGCTGCAGCACACAGGAAGGTCCCCCGCTGCTCAGGTGGGGCGCAGCAGCGGGGCTCGCAGCGCGGTACATTTCGCAGCCAGACGCAGGCTGCATCCCCTGGGCTTCGCACTGGCAGGGCGCTGCTGCGGGGCCGGGGCGGGAGGCCGTGCAAGGCGCCCTCGGGTGGGGACGTGGCCACTCACCCCTTTCATCCGGTACCCCCTCTGCCGCGCCCGCTCGGCCCAGCTCGCCGCCGCGCGCACGTCCCTCTCTGTGCCGTACCCCTCGTTGTACATCTGGGCCAGCAGGGCCTGCTGCTTCACGTCGCCGCGCTGCGCCTCGATCTGGGTGTCCTCAAACCAGCGGCGCACCTGGAGGCGGGTTGGTTTGGGGTGCAGGTGATGTGTGGGGTGGGCATGTCAGATTCAGGGGAGGGGCGGTCGGGGGT